AGACAGAGCCTCAAGCTATCCCCCTGGGTAGAGTGCTGTGGCATCACGGCTCACAGCAACCTCCAACTCCTAGGCTCAAGGGAGTCTCCTGCCTCAGCCTCCCAAGTAGCTGGGACCACAGGCCCCTGCCACAACGCCCGGCTATTTTTTGGTTGCGGGTGTCGTTGTTGTTTGGCCGGCCAGGGCTGGATTCGAACCTGCCACCTTGGGTGTGTGTGGCTGGTGCCTTAGCCACCTGAGCCACAGGCGCCAAGCCTGGTGCTCTCTTTAGTGTTGTCACTTTATTTTATTTTATTTTTGAGATAGTCTCACTATGCTGCCCTCAGTAGAGTGCTAGCAGGGCATCACAGCTCACAGCAACCTCAAACCCTTGGGCTTAAGTGATTCTCTTGCCTCAGCCTCCCAAGTAGCTGAGACTACAGGCACTGGCCACAACGCCTGGCTATGTTTTGTTGTCGTTGTTGTTGTAGGCAGGCCCTGGCCGAGTTCAAACCCGTCAGCTCCAGTGTATGTTGCTGTTGCCTTATCCACTGAGCTGTAGGCGCCAATCCAGTGTTGTCATTTTAGAATATACTCTCCTGAAGGAGTAGACAATAAGCAGAATATTTCATTTATTATGTATTTTATTTTCCAATTTCCTCTTGCCAAATCTCCATCCAAAGAATCAGAGCAGCCTTCTCCCACCTAAAAAAGCAAGAGAGAAACAAACAAACAAACAAAACAGGATCAGGAAACCCAAGAAGACCTTCCATGTCCCCTCTTCTATGAAAACTGTCCAGATTTTATATTCTGAGCCAGGATTTCCCTGTGGTATCTCCTGGGAAAGAAGTGTCCCCTCCTCTCATCACTCCTTCCTTCTGCTAAATTTCTTTATTCCTGATATTTAGAATCCCAACTTAAATTCCTTCCCTGTAATACAGCTTTATTGTCCCTGTTCCTTTTTCCCACTCTCTCTCCCATACATTAGGGAACTGCCACCCCTTCTGCCTCTGGACTTTGCCTTTTGACTCTTCCAGGTTACAAGACCTGCCCATTTTGCCCTCTGGAACCTGCCATGCCTTGAAACATGGCCAGGCTAGAACCAGCTCAGATTCCTCAGGTCATCCTGGAATCTTGGAATGGTGGTTTTCTCCATGCCATCTGCCCCTACTGTAGGAGGCCTTGAAGTCCTCCTAGTTCAGAAAAATTAATGACTCAGTACAAAGGTTTTTGCCTCAACATCTCCTAAATTTCTTAAAGATTAAATAATAAGATTTTTCTAAATATGATCTCTCTTCCTTCTTTAAGCAGCTGAGAATTGACCAAGCTGGAAACACTAGCAAAAGATACTGGTAAGAATTACTTTGCAGACTTTCCCAAGGCCATTGGCTATACTCTCACCTTTTATGTGAAATACATCCCTCCCTGAACTAGGGCCCACCACAGGATGAGGTGTACAGGACTTTGCAGACTGGAAACACCATCATTCAGATCTGGACTCTGCTAAAATACAAACATCCCCCCACAGTAAGCCAGTGTCATTCTTCCTACAACTCCCTCTCCCTCCAGAAGGAGAGTCAAATTTTTACATTAAGCTCTGTCTTCCTTTCCTCTGGGCTTAGAGAAAGATCCATCCCTCCTCCCCATCACTATAAGGAGTCTTTTCCATTGTGCCTTTCAGCCATCCCTAATCATATATAGGAGGTCCCAACTCAATTCAATGACACCTATTTTTTTTAATCTATTCTGTGCATGACACTAGGTTAGTCACTGTCCTAAGTGTGACAGGGAGGGATATAAATTTGAATAAGACATGTTTCCTGTCCTCAAGGAATTTACAATCTAAAGAGAGCCTATCATAAACCTTAAAAAGATTTATTTGCCCTTATTGCCAATTTTACACATTCCATTCCTACTGTTGTCTTCCATTTGTGTTAAACTATATCCAGGTTGCTTTTTCTTATTCCCTTTCCAGCTGTTGCTTCTGTTTATCGTTAACAGATTTTTCAGATGGTTAGTCTATACTTGCCTCCATCTCTTCATAACGTACTCTCTCTTCAATTCCACAAAATCTAGCTTTTCTCCAACCATTCAATTAAAACTGCTTCCTTTGGGTTTACCAATGACATCCTTCTCCTTGGCCCCTTGGTAGCTTTTGATTAATTCTATTAACCTCTCTTTTCTAGACACTTTAATACAAATTGACTGTCTGCTTACCTCTCCAATCAATCCTTCCCACTTTCTTTGGTTGATTCCTTTCCTTCTGTTAACTATAGGCACAGTCCTGGGCCTTATGCGCTTTTGTACGTGCTGACTCTGTTGAACTCATTTACTTTTGTAACTGTGACTTTGCACTTAGAACTATAGCCTTGACCTAATTCACCAACCTTTAGGACACCCTCATAGGGCAGTCACCATAAATTCAGTTTGGTCCATATCAAATTCATGACTTCCCTTTTAAACAACCTGTCCTCCTACAGTCCCCATTTTGGTCAGCCATTTTCTTAGACAGCCATGTTTAAAACCTGCAAGTTATTTTAACTCACTCCTCCTTTATTCCTCATATGAAATTATTACCAAAACAAGGCATTTTCTATTTTTTTTTTTTTTTTGAGACAGAGCCTCAAGCT